AAGTTTCCTTTTTCTCCTCCATATCGAGCTGATGCTGACGTTCTTCACGTGCACGTTCACTGTGTTCCTTTTCCAGTTGAAGCTGAAATTCTCTTTCTTCACGTGCTTGTCTATCAGATCTTTCCTTTTCACGTTCATCACGCATCCTGGATTGTTCTTCCCGTACGAATTTTTGTAGCTCCTCGTCCTTCAGTCCCATCTTAGTACCCAGCTCCAGAAGTTTTTCCATTTCACCGACAGTAGACATTGTGTCTTATACTAAAGAGAACCAGTATACCTTGTTAACAATCAGCACCCTGAGTCTTAGCTCCTCTCTTATTTACTTCTATCTAGGCTACTTACCTCTAAACAATAAATAGGTGAACCATACTCTTACTTACCTCTGAGTATAACATCAGCAATCTATCCTTGGACTAACTACTGACTAACCCTAACAATTTGAAAATTTTGAAAATTTACTTTAAATTAAACTTGGCAAACCTTCACAATTGGAACAATCTTAACTGATTTGGAGAAAGACAGGTTCTCAACTACCGCTGCCACCAAATGTAACGTGGTTGAGCCAGGCTATCTCCAAATAACACTCAAGACAGTTCCAATTAAAGAAATTTATTTACAAAATGAAAGAAAAATATATTTACATAATCACACTAACACTCACACGCACTTGCACACCTCTCTTTCACATATACTTGTAAGAAAAAAAAAATCAATAAACCTTATAACTTGACAGACAGACTGACAGACTAAATGTTTCTTTATAAAATTATCTCAGAAAATGCTTTATTTTGTTGCCCTGTAATGTTCACTTGCACAGTTCTGTTATCTAGGTTTGCCACAATCACGAGCTCTAAGTTCTAACTCCTTTCAGATCGACTTATCTGAATCTCAACACCAAAAGTTTTAGCCTAGGTTCATCAATCGTCCGATCGCTTCTGGGGCTGTAGTCCCGGAACTTGTGGAAAGGCGATGATAACCCTCAGAAAGCTTGACTATATTTGTCCCACCTGGATCGTAAGCTCACTCAGCTACGTCCTCGTACTTCACCAACGTCATAACGCTACAATTTACAGGACTCATAAGTTTTCTAATATGGCAACATATTATAATGGCAACACTTAATGATGTTATATTTAGATAAAGTATAAATGAAATATGTCTGTCTAAATAGTTCAACAAGTTATGATAAAAAGCATACATTGTATTGTGATTTCAAAACAATATGGCGACCACTTCCGGCTGTCACTTCCGCCCAATACATTTAAAGAATTCGCCAAAAAAAATATCGAGCACAAAAATACACCTAAAGAAACACTCAAAAGTGACACAAATAAAGTCATACAATATTCTATCGACAGTAAAAGAACTGGGTATTTAAACTCTCGCTACCGATACACTTGACTGCTCACACAGGTAAGTTAGACAAGTGAATGTAAGCCAAGGTTATATTTAGGTCACTCGATAAACAAGAATACTTACAAAATACACTCTAAGAATAAATTCAAAAACACAAAATATACATACCACGGTCTGCTCTTCCGTGCCTTTAGTTACTAGTTAGGTTCTGTACGTTGCATACTGCAAAATATACTGCCCCTGCAGTAAACTCGACTGCCCTCTAATGTACGTGTTACTCACACGGCAGCTCACCCGGGAATGTCCCAGCCAATTTAATCACGTGACTTTTGCAACGACAAAGAACTATGGGAAATCATTGTTACAGGCCATAAAGCTACCCTGATACACAAGTGATTGTCACACTATGTAGGAACTTGAAGCGAAACAATTGCCTGTGGTGCTTGAACTATATAAATTTCATATGAAGTAAAAAATAGACCATATAAACATTCTAAAAGTTTTGTTACGTTTCGTTTCGGCAGGTTTCGTTTTGATTTCGTTTCGTTTCGTCTTGATTTCGTTTCGTTTCGGTAGGTTTCGTTTCGTTTCGGTAGATTTCGTTTCGTTTCGGTAGATTTCGTTTCGTTTCAGTTCGTTTCGTTTCGTTTCGTTTCTATTTCGTTTCTCACTTTACAGGTACCCTGACTCAAGTCGTTATTTTCATTTTTTTTTGACAAAAGTGTGTCTGCATCATCTGTCCTTAAAAAAAGCACTGTTTTTTTAATAAGTATATTTAATCTCAACATAATTATCTTCCATGTTCACATTCTATTCTTGCGTGTTAACATAATTTATCTTTCATGTAGGGGTTGCAATATGCTACCATACGAAGATAAAATCATTAATTTTCCTGTAGCAATAGGTGAAGTGGAATTTATGCCAAAATTAAATTTTATCTCATAAAAGTAGAGACCGGTCACGGTAGCCTAGTGGTAGAGCGTTCGCTTCGTGATCGGGAGGCCCGGGTTCGATTCTCGATCGCGGCGCCGCGTCATACCTAAGACGTAAACATAGGTAGTGACTGTTCCTTCGCCAAGCGCTCGGCACTAGAAGTGAAAGTCACGGGTCTTTCGGATATGACCTTAAAAACGTAGGTCCCGTGTCACGGTAGGCGTTGGCACGATAAAGAACCCTCACTGCTCAATGGCCCTGAGTGCCGAGTATAGGTCTAAATTTGAAGCCCTTCACCGGCATCGGTGACGTCTCCATATGGGTGAAAAATTCTCAAGAGGGACGTTAAACAATATACAATCAATCAATCATAAAAGTAGATAGGCGTAAGGGGGTGTTATGATGCTTTAACAACAATAAGACATATTGTCATATTTTTCGATTGATGGATTGATTGTATGTTTTTAAGGTCCTTCTCGGTCATTTCATACACATACGGAGACGTCACGGAACATTTGACGGTAAAGAGCTTCAAATTTAGACGTTTGCACTCAGCACCATTAAGCAGTGTGTGTTTTTTAAAACGTGCCAACGCCTATTGCCACACGGCACTTAAGTTTTTGAGGTCATATCCGAAAGACCCGTGACTTAAACTTCTAATGTCAAGCGTTTAGCGAAGTAATAGTGATTACCTATGTTAACGTCTTAGATATGACGCGGCAGTGCAAACAAGGATCAGACTAAGCTAATATTAGTTAGCAAATATTTATTTTGAAACCGTTAGCACATACGGGCACTCTGGTGCATTTTCTGTGACATTCTGTAGGCTACTATAGATAGCAGTAGTCATACAAGGGCTTACCTGTAAGTACACCATGCTGTGGATTACTGCTTTAAAAAATTATGCATACCGTGTCATTTACTAGTATAGTGATATACAGTACATACATGTAGTTATGAAATGTGGTAGGTAACAGAATGAGATAGACGGAATTTTCATACTATCATGGGTTTTGAAAGCCAGTAGTATGTACTATTAATAAATAAATATTTCATTTTACAGGAGAGAAAATGGAAGAAAACGTGTTGACAGGCATTATTGTTGATGTTTCTGGATCTATGAAATCCAGCATTGGTGATGGTGTCTTCGAGAAGAGGAGAGAGTGGACTCTTTCGTTATTAACAACCTTATCAAACACGATTCACCATCTTCTCACAAGATGTTTTGTTTAGGCATTGGGGCAAAATGGGAAAAGGACCTCCCTTTTGATTTGATAAGCATGTTAAATCTCTTTCCGAAAATGCCTGATCCCAAACTTTCATTCGTTCAAACTATTGAAAACATTCTACAGATTCTTGAGAATTATGGAGCAGATGCTGTAAGAAAATGGGCAACTCCAAAAATAATCAGGAAGGTTGTGTCAGATGATGATGCTACTTTGATACTGCTGAAACTTCAATCTGACATTGAGTTTGTCAAATACTTTATTGATGTTTGTTTACCAAAAGCATGCAAAGGTTTTAAACCTGAAGTAATTAGGAGAAAAAAAGAAGGAAGGGAAATGCTCACCGAACAAGTCATTACGGAAACAGATGAACTTTCATCGAAAACCATGTCATTTGAAAATCCTATAGTTTATGTATGCAGGTTTAGATGTAAACACTTTGTTCGTAATAAAATGTTCAATTGCGCTTGTCATACATGTACTTTTAATGGAATTAAATGCAAATGGCATAAAAACATCGATTTCCCTTCGTATGTGTGTGATACTCGTTTTAAATGGAAACTCCACTGGGTATGTAATTGCAATATTTGTCAGAGTAAAATTATAAATTTTAAAGCTGAATTCTCTAATCAATGTTCATTTGACTTCGTGAATGGGAGTACATTTTATCCTTGTGATGAAAAGCAGTTTTAACAACAAAATTGAAAATTTGAAATTGGTATTTTATTTTTAGCGAGAAGTAATTTAAGCTTTTATAAAATGCTCACTTAAGAAGATATTTCAAATATTTCAAATAAAGCACAATTAATTTTTAGCGATATTCAATTTTAGCGACCCCAACACCCTCGCTTATAATGCCAAAATTAAATCCTCGCTGCAATTTCCACTTATTCGGTATTTTTCAATAATTATATAATTTTAGCGATATCAGTGATAACGACTTGTTTGCCGCCGCTTCGAAGGAAAATTGGGTAAATTATTTAGCATTGTGTGTCTGTTCATCTGTTAAGTTGTCTTGGGAATAATTTCTGTTCACATCTGATGTCAATTTCGTGTTTTATCGTAACTCTGTCAATACCATGTTACAGTTTTCTCAACAATTTCTAATTAAAGAAGTTTGAAATTTCAGCTTATACTTTATTTAAGGCATGCCATAAAGTTGGGTATATTTTAATAAAAATCTCATGACAACTTCCTATTTAGCACTACATCTACATGTACAGTGCTGCTATCCAACAAGTTGACATGGGATGGGATTGGATAGGATTCAGGATTGAGGATTCACGATAGAAACATAGAGAAGTTAATCCAATCCTATCCTATCCTATCCTATCCTGTATCCTACAGCCAATCAGATTCGAGGAAAGGTTTATTCATATTTCAGAATAAATTACAAAAACGAAATACAATATAAAATGTTTCAAAAGAAATATTTAAAAAATTTCAATAGAAAATAAAACATTCTCTTTTCTAAAAACAGATTTACATTATAAACGTCGAGTAATACGGCGTACGATCTAACCGTGAACGAGAACCGGAAGAATTTAAGAATGTAAACAACGAAGAGATATGCATCGAAAGACCGTATTTCTTCAGCTTGTTTGGATGATTTAACCGATTCTTACTTGTGTAAAAGTGTAGTAACATGTTTTTCTGTTAAATATGCTCTGTTTGATTGGATAATTCCACTGGAACCGTCGACCGCAGAATTGAATAGATGATGTGCGAGAACCAGTCTAGACGAACTCCAAAAACGGCGTGAACTCCAAAAAGGAAGTCTTTGGCTCCGTCATGCATTGCGGCAAAAATGGCTTCCGATGTAAACAAACGATGGATTGTCGTTCGCTTTCTCCACATATACGACTGAATAATGGCTGTATTTAGTAAACTGTGACTGGATTTCAATTTTTGTTGAACAAATAATTGTACCCATTAATTATTAAGTGGTTATTTACTTATTTATCGCTCTGTATTCTTGCATAATAGTGATTTGGGATATACGTACGACACCGGGATTCAATAAAGTCGGTAAGAATTAATTTTCTAACTTAATTTATTGTCCCCTTGATTTAAATTTTATGCCATTCCTACTATAAAGATGCTTAAATTTTACTTCTAAGACACTTATATATCGTTTTTTTTTATGAAAAACCGCACAATTTTGGCGGCGGAGCAGAGATATTAACAGGTTCGATTTGAGAAGACTTTTTAACCGTAATTTTAAAAGAATGATTTTTTTAAAGTTCTTAAACTCATAGATTATAATTCTAAAAATGTTTCCATGATTATATCTATTCATATGTGAAAACATTAGGTATATATATACCGATGGTGATAACTAACGCTCTAAATATTCAGATGTACTACAGGATTATATGACGAAATAATATTACAAATAGGTAAAAATTCGGTCAATGTTTAACAGTTACAACATATATATTACATTATTCAACTGAACATATTTTTCCCTTTTATTATAAATTTAATTCCCAAACGTTTATTTTTTTGCATTTGATCTAACCTGAAACGTGAGCTTTCTTCAAAAAAGCCTCGGAGGAAATGTGGAAACTGAATGGATTCTCATGTAACTGTCACCAGATCGACTCTTATTTATGATTAAAACCATCAATTCAGTACTTTTTTAATTATTGGTAAGATGTATTTACAATGCAGTTGCTCATTGCTGATCTAAACATGCTGAAATTCATTCGTACACGATAGACATGAAAGACAGAGGAAATTCGAACTGAAAATTCGCCAGCGTTCCTTACTTACAAAATAAACTTCTAAAATCAGTAAAAGTAGTTCTAAAATGACTAACTTAGTCACTACAAACAAATTATCAACCACAGAGATGTTTTCATAAGATTACGACTGTTTAATTTGTATTTTGTATCCTACTTGTACGATGTCTGGCTGAACCTCGAAGTTGGTCAACTTTGACTTGAAATTAAAAACTATTTGCACATGAAATCAAAATTCTAACAAATAAGTTCTCTAAAATCATTTATTATTAATCATTTCTGAGAACTTACATTATTGTAAGGTAATCCAATTTTTTGCAAAAACACTTTTTATAAGAGCCCACTTTTCACGATTTTTCACCGTTTTTTTATATAACTGCGCATGCGTTGGACTCGTTTTTTGGAGTCTTTTCTGGACTGAAATTCTCACTTCCGTTAACGCCGTTTTTGGAGTTCGTCTAGACTGAGAACGTGTACATGTAAGTATACTGTGCATTTTTACACATATTTCGCCCTTTAAACAATGTCCTCATGACTTAAATTATTAACATTTTATTCTATTTTATGTAAACAAAAATGGGGTGCAGAAAAATAGGAAGAAGTAGTGTAGATAGAAGGGGATGGGGGTAAATATTTACAAATACTGTGTCACATGATTCAATTAGCTATCAATAAGCTCTTAGACTAAAACCATCATATGTATTATGCCTTAATCAGTTTTTGTTACTATTATCATTTCCCTAGTAAGGTTAGAAATTAGTTTCTTTCATTTCAGTGCAATTTTTAATAAATGAATGTAGAATCATCATGACTATTTCTAATGCTACTGTTTAAATGTTTAGTAAGCTCACTCAGTAGTCAGCACTGCACTTACATTGTATGCACATTTGTATGATGTATTGTGAGTTATGAAACATAAGTTAATCTTTTAATATTCATTTTTACAGAGAATGGATTTGCCTGCATCATGCGTCATCACAGTATAAAGGATTTTAATCTAAAAAGTATGTATGATTTGATTTTTTATCATGTATTTATGCTTGGTCATTATAATACATTAACATCATTATCTGAGTTGAGATGACATCTCAGCAGATTCTCTGAACAAGTGATTTTCTTCTTATAAAAAAAATTAAACTGAAAACAATGTTGAATTATTCTGGTCATCATGTCATTGTTATATATATTTTTTCTTTTTCATATTCAACATGTTCAAATTTCAAGACAAAAAAACAACAACAAACAAACAAAGAAAAACATTAATTAAAAAGATAAATACAAGCAGAAAAAAGAAAAAAAAATCACACAAACCAAAGTATTCATATACTTGTTAGCAAGTCAACGAGATAAAATGAATTATAATGTACTTATAAGTAAATAATGTAAAATAAGATTTTTAAGAAAAAAAATGATATGACTGAGGTTTCAGTATAAGATTTTATTTTCCATTTTTTCTTAATGCATTACTTTTGGGAGAGAAAAAGGTGAAATAAAGCCAATTTTACATGAAAAGTGAAAGATAATCACAATCAAAAACAGTTTAAATGTGTTACAGTAATATGGCAAAATTAACAATCTACATGCCTATAATTTTTTATTCAGGACAACCCTGCTCATTTCAACTGTACAGATTGCAGTTCATCTCATATGCTGTTAGACTACATGTAAATGATGAAGGATGTTCAAACCAGTTTCAAAGAGTCCCAAGTCTGAAATCATGGTGCTTTTATTAAGGAGATCTGTGCATTTTTCTGTGATTTGTTGACATTTGTGGAACTGTTCGGTTTGTAACCATCTCTCTGACAATAACTCTGACATTCACAAGATGAAATTACACCATTCAGTCGACGGAATGGTAACTGAATGCCCACTGAATGGTCACTGAAAGGTCACTGAAAAGATCCTTTCCCGTGACTTTTCCGTGATCATTCCGTTACCATTCAGTTGGCTGAATGGCAGGTACATTTCAGTGACCTTTCAGTTACCATTCAGTTGCATCTTTTTATTAAATAATCGGCTTATTTTTTAACTTAAAAATTTTATTTCACTTTTTCCTGACTTAATAGCATTTAGTTAATATATTTTCGATTAAAAAATGAAGGAAAAAATTAATGCCAGATAAAAAATCTTTCCCACTGCCAGAATCGAACCCTGGCCCCCGGCGTGACAGTCCGTAACCTTGTCAATTGAGCTACGACTTCTTGTTGAAAACAGTGGAATTAAAATCAATCAATTTGTAGAAATCGAAATGGAACACGGTTCACCTGTTGTATCGAGGAGTTGCGATGTGTATATATCTTGTATATATTTTGTATATTCTATGTTAATTGCGCGGATTTTGGGGACAGACTGATTAATTACACATCTCTTATCGGGATGATGACAATTATCGGCGACGGGCACCTGTTCTTGTCAAAGAAATCTTCTCCTCGGAGATCGTTTTGAATTCTCTATCTAGAAATTTATCAAATTATTTTAAACAGTATCATTTAAAAAGCTTTAATCTACAATATTAAGTTTCTTCCAGAAGAGGCATAGATAAATGATGTATTCTGTTCCTGTAAAATGATTTTATAATGATGTCTTTCAAAAGCTGAAATATCCTGCGGGTTTTACAATTAAGAAACGGAATTTATAATATCAAGGTTCTTCCAGAAAAAGATATAAATAATATTAATTCTGTCTCATCGTTCAATATTAGATATTTCCATGAAAAATATAATAACTGTAGAATGTATAATTAGATGACATAGGAATAATCAAATCTATATTAGAGCTGTAAAAAATAAGATCACATTTTCTTTGCTAATATTAAGATCACATTTTGATCGATAGCCTCCAATTTTTTTTTTTTTTCAGATTGATTTTTAAGTAATTTAAAAGCTTATTAAATCAATATTTATCACCGAATCAGAGATTTACAGAAAGAAAAAAGAAAACAAACTTATACGACATTTAATTGAATTTTGATTCGAGAATCGGATGATTATTTTTTTATCATTTGAAGATTTTTTTTTAAATCTACTAGAAAATTAAATATCATTTTGAATTTTATGAGTTCACACTTCTTGAATTTAACGAGTTCAGTTGAACTGTTATCATTTATTTTGTAGCATATAAATAAACAATTGTTAAGTAAAGTATCAAAAGAAATAGAAAGATCCTTCTTATTTTAGTTAGTCCGAACATATCGAAAATATGCCATATATATATGTATGTCTTTTAACATTTGGTAAACACTTGAAATACAATTGAACATCTAACTATGATTACCGGTTTTAGGTACCTTTATTACGATAAGAAAACAAAAACATAGTTAAGATTGGATGATAAATTTATGCAAAATATTTTTAAGAAAAAACTACTGATTATAAATTGATAAGCCAGTAAAAGAATCGCTGAATTGATACTAAAATGTGTGCTAAAAGATAACGGAAAGGTTACTGAAAGACGACGGAAAGGTCACTGAAAGACGACGGAAAGGTCACTGAAAGTCGACTGAAAGGTCACTGAAAGTTGACGGAAAGGTCACTGAAAGATAACTGAAATGTGTCCGCTGAATGGTGACTGAAAGGTACCTGAAATATGACTGAAAGGCAACTGAAAGGTCACTGAAATGTACCTGCCATTCAGTGGCTGAATGGCAACTGAAAAGTCACTGAAAGCCGCCTTTCAGTTCTAACTGAAAGGTCTCGTTTCTTCCTGTGATTTGAAATTCAGTTTGAGCGACGGATAAGGAAGCCAAATCATATGCATGTAAAACATAGTACAACTGTAATAAAAACATTGATAAACTTAGATTTGAACAAAGTACATGTACATGTATCTGTGATCTTGGCATTGAATCTCGTGAATTCTGTACATGGATACTTTTAATGAATTTGTCTCATAGTAATAGAACATTCAATTGATAAACATTGTTGAGGAATCACCTGAATAAAAATATTGTGAAGTTGATCAAGTATTTTTTTCCTCATTTAAATACTGAAAAATTTAAGATCAAATGTCAAGGTCAAATACAAGGTTTACTCAAGAATGTATTATAAATGCTGTAAATACTGTGAATTCTTAGGCATGTTTTGTATGATCTAAGGAACATGTGTGGAGAATTTTAATATCCCTCACTCAGACACTGATTAACATCAAAGATCAAATGCCAAGGTCAAAACAAACTTGGCTTACTAAAGAATGAGTTATAAATACTGTAAATACTGTGAATTCTTAATTTCTTATGCATGTTTGATAAGATTTAAGGAACATGTGTGAGCTCACCACAATATTTATTGTTGTCAATCTGTCTGGGTCTGACAATGACAATTTAGGGAATATTTTCTATTAAACATAAATTATTGAATTATTACACAAAAAAACAGAATTGGAAATTGAAATGTATTTGTACGGCACTGAACTGACCATAAACTGAGAAGAAAATGAAGTTAAATAAGACATTGTAACATTTCGAATAACTTGAATTTTATTCAGCTACTATATGTTTTGCATGTTTGAAAAATCTTCGCATAAAAAAAATATGAATTTAAATTAAAAAAATCGTACATTTCAAATTTTATATAATAAGACAATTCCACATTCAAAATGTTAATATGTGAAAGTCAAGATATTCTAGATATAAATTTTGACACGCCCGTTTAGTTTATGGCCCGTGTAATCATATCTTCATTTTTAGAACCGCATACAGAAAAACATATTATACAGGCACAGTTAGACTATACATGTACATGCATGTTTTTTTTTTTTTGGTGCTCGGTTTAGAAAAACATAAAATTTTACATGAAACATATTCTTAAACATTATTACCGTATAGGCCTATGTTTTTTAAAAATAATTAATTATAACACACCGGGAGCAAGTCGCGATCCTGTGGCCTTGTCTCCCGACCATTGTTAGTATGGAAAATTAAAACAAAGTCTAATCATATTTTTTCTTGAATTCTTTCTTCTGGATGCCCAAATTCTTTACATATGTTCGCAAAATAAGTACTTGCCCACGTTTTATTTCAATCCGTTTGTTTACATTTTTTTTGAAATAGTTATGATAATGGTAAATTTAATTTGTGCAGCGTGTCAGGAATTATGGAATGTCGATCTCGATTATTTTTCTCCATTAAAATATAACATTTAAGTGCATTCCATAATTATAACTGATTTTTTTTCTGGTCATTCCGTTTTTTTTTCTTTTTATCATATTAATTCCTAAATATTAAAAAACTGAGAGTTGCAGGATAGGATAGGATAGGATTAGACTGAAATAACAGGATAGGATTGTGGATGCAGGATTCACGATAGGATAGGATAGAATTGTCAACTTATAGGATAGCAGCACTGTAACTGCATCTGGCGTGTATATTCATATGACAGTATGACAGTATTAATTTCTGTCAGTCTTGACCCACATACTTCTATATCTGACGAAAATATTCACGAACCATTATTTGTGGCGTGTCGCAGCGTTTAGAGCGTCTGGTTTAGCATATATTACGGGTTCCAACCCCACTGTGAGACGTGGAGACCGGTCCATTGATTGAGACCGTATAAACTGAGAACCCGTATTTTAGGAGAATTTTTTTAATAGGATATGAAAACACCAAATCTCTGTTTAATTTTAATGCTTCAAATAGAAAATCAAGTGTTGATCAATTAATTGGTATATCTACAGTGCCATTTTATGCATAAAGTGAACCGACTTCTTTTAAAGCTAAATTGTTTAGATTTTGTCCATTTTGTACTCTTTTTTAAAAAGAATATAAAATCGGAATAGTTTGTGACGTCATAAAATAAAAACTGTGATTACACTGCTTTGACACTGTAATATTTTCTGTTTATTTATATTTTTCATACAATTTATTGAATTCAGCACATTTCAGGAAGTTTTCAAAATTTGACTTTTGTGGGGGCAAATATATGCATTATGCCGCATATAGTTCTTTGACTGTGACAAAAAAAAGTGAAATTTTTTTGTGTTAAACATTTCAGAGTTTAAGGAAATGAAAAATAATTTGTACAGAAATTTTCATATTTATTTTATTTTTTTTAATTTATTATTATTATTATTATTATTATTATTATTATTATTATTTTTATTATTTTTTTTTTTTTTTTGCTATTGGATATGATGTATGTATATATATGTATATATACAATGACCTTTCAGTTTACCTGTGTTTTTTTGTTGTAATTTTTATGCCCCCATAAACGAAGATTGGGGGTATGTAGTTTTTGTCGTGTCCGTCCGTCTGTCTAGCTGTCTGTCTAGCTGTCTATCTCTCTGTATGTCCGTCTCTCTGTATCTCTGTTTGTCTGTTTGTCTGCAAAACTCCTTAAACCTTGCCCATAACTTTTGATTTAGAGGAGCTATGACTTTTATATTAAATATGTGTATTCCTTGTGACAAGACCTGTCTTTGGTACCACCAAATTTGACCTTTTGACCTTGGAGTTTGACCCACACACAAAAATTCTAAACCTTTTTTATGCCATATCTTTTAACAAGTAGATGCGATGAAATTTAAACTTTACATATAATTTTTTTTGTGAAAAGACCCTTTAGTGAACACCAACAACTATGACCTTTTGACCTTGACCTTGGAGATATTTGTCTTTGTGAAAAAACTTAAACCTTGCCCATAAATTTTGAACAGTAAAGGATATGGCTGTTATATATCACAGATGTTATCCTTGTGAGAAGACCCTTCATTGGATACCAAGAACTTTGTCCCTATAACCTTGTCCTTGGAGCTTGACCTAATTTTAAAAAGCAAAACTTGACCATAACTTTAAAAGGGTTAAGGCTAGT